GTTACAGCACATATCATCGTGGTCTTCATGGTTGGACTCCATTGCACTCTGCATCATATGGTGGACACATTGAGATCCTTCAACTACTCATCCATCAATATGGTATTCATCCTAATGAAGGTGATGATAATAGTGTATCTAGTATACATATGGCATCTTATAAAGGCCACTTATCTATAGTACAATATCTAGTAGACACGTGTCATGTTCCTCCTGATCAACCAGACAGTAGCAATAACACTGCATTACTGTACTCAGCAATGGGGGGCCATTCTGACCTAGTGGAATATTTTATTAAGAGAAATTGTAATGCTTTTCAGATTAATTTTAATAGCGAGTCTTTATCATTGCTAGCTTGTCAAAGTGGAGAGTTAGCATTAGTCAACAAGCTTGAATCATTAAACCTCTTCTCACCAGATGACAAAACAAATTCAGAGGCTGGTATACTACATTATACTTGTCGTTCTGTGAATAATAAAAGTGTTGAGCTTTTTAAGTATCTTTTAAAACAATATCAATTATGCATTGATGTAAAGGATTCTAAATATGATCGGACTCCACTTCATATTGCTTCTTGGTATGGTTCATCATCAGTTGTTGAGTATATTGTTAGTATTCAAGGTAATGAAGCATTACTAGCTAATGATAATATTGGCTACTCCTTGCTACATTGTGCATGTGATGCAGGTATACAGTTTCCAGCTGGTATTGTGTATAGTAAGCTTATGGCACAAAGTGATGCATCAGGTATTGATATTATTAATAATACTAGAATAAAACCAAATATTGATTTTATCAAACAAAATGAAAGAGCTAATATGTTTTCTTCACTTCTCAAGAAAGCTAGTACTTGCCCTAACTTTGACATCAATGCCACTACAAATGATGGTCAGTCATTACTTCATTTGGCATCATGGACTGGCAGTACATTACTGGTGAAAGCATTAGAAGAATATAATATCACTTGTACATTAGATTATGATGGTATGTCTCCAGTACATTATGCTGCCTGGTCAGGTTCTACTAGTGTACTAAGTTATATCATAACTCAGTATAATCTCAATGCTTACGATACTGATACTTATGGTCGTACACCATTAGTCTACTCCTGCTGGTCAGGTAGTATTAATTCTGTTAAATATCTTATTAATAATCATAACAGTGATCCTAATATCACTGATAAGTATGGTTTCACATGTATTCATCATTCTTGTTGTAATGGCCATGTTGATATCACTCAATATCTCATTGAGGTACAGCATTGTGATATTAATAAAACAGATAATAAAGGACTTGCGTTAGTACACCATGCTGCATGGAGTGGTAACTTTGATTTAGTTCAGTATCTTATTACTGAACAAGGTTTGTCTCCTACTGCAGTTACTAAGAATGGCCTCACTGCTTTACATTATGCCTCATTGTCTCTTAACTTATCTCTTGTTAATAAATTAATAACTACCTATCAGTTAGATCCTCATCAAGCTGACAGTAATGGTAAGCTACCAATTCATTATGCTGCTGAATCTGGTGATATTTTACTACTGGAACTATACATGAAGGATTACAAGTGTAGTCTGAGCCTAACAGATAAGGATCGTTGGAATATATTTCATTATTCATCGTTCAAAGGCCACATTCATTTTGTCAAACATGTCACCAGTCATCATTCTCACTCCATCAGTTTATTAGACTCTGTTGACAAGAAAGGACACACACCATTGCATTATGCGCGTAAATATGGACACACTCAATTGGTTAAATTTCCAATAGAAGACATAAAGTGTGAGACTCAAGAGAAAGATCCATGTGTCTACAGTGTCTTACTGTAACCAACAGTGGAATGATTTCTATTCATATCATTAATACGTAACACAATAATAAACATATAATCCCTAATTATACCATGTATCCACAATGGTTTTACCAACACACCAAATCCTATACGATATCGTATCTTAAACACCATCTTACCATTACACCTATCACCACCTTATCACCATCCCACAACCTGACATATCATTGTATCACCATTGTACTATGCCTGATTTACATTGCACAATTAAAGCTATACGTTAAGACAGGAAGTGCTGTATAAACCAATGGCCACCGTTTTTGTAAAGCAAAAATAGAAATTATCTCTATTCTTATGTTACATAAACGGTTGCCATTGGTTTATATAGCACTTCCTGTCTTAATGTATAGCCTTAATTGTGCAATGTAAATCAGGCTATACACCATACACCAATGGGTATACCAATATCACCTATACAGTACTTCTGTAATCTCTTAACTTGAATCACCATTAATCTTAGCACCACCATGATCATCTTATCATTACCATGTACACCAAAGACATGCAATATATCCATTACCAATGTACCACCATATTACCATCATAACTGTATTACACCACCATACCAGTTATCACCATTACACCATATACCCAGATGTACACCCCAATGGTTACCAATATCACCAATCCTTCTTCTTTAATATATTCTCCATTAACACATATCACTGGAGCTGCTCTTTGCTTTCTTTTGTTAGTCTTCCCTTTCTTCCTTAATTAATAAATTGCTTTATTATAGCATCTACACATCTACCTTTATTTTGTACTTACATGCACTTAATTTGTTATAATAATAATAATAATAATAATAATTGTTGTTGTTGTTGTTGTATTTTAATAAATTTTTAATATAATTTATATAATCAAAATTAAATAAGTCAATAATTTTATCCCAGTTTTCCTGCCACGGTGGACTTGATGTGATTACGTCTGGACATTCAAGAACTGCTTGAACTTGATGTGATTCTCCACTGGTCAGTGCAGCTCCAAAATCAGCAAGATGTGTAAAGGCCCCATACACTAGGCAACATGTTGCCTGGGGGCTTTTAGGATCATCTATAACTCCTTTACCAGCCTCAATGATCTGAGCCAATGACTCTCTGTGGGATGAGAGGATCATGTAATATAAATGTAATATAGCCCATGGTTTTTCCAAAAAATCATTAGTTCCAACGTACATGTACATGTATCTACCTTTCCAGTGAGTGACAGTTCACCAGTCATGGCAACATTCTGATGTATTGGATGATTCATAGCCAGTGAGAGGACAGAGGAGGGCAGAGACTATAAGGGACCGTTCTTTGGGGTAGCACCCTTTAGATCTAATTAATAAATATTAATAAATAAAAACAGTAAAAAAATTTTTTACTGTGTTAGTTATTTTAATGGGAGATGAAGAGTCTTCAGCAATACTGGGCTCATCGACATGTAAGTCTCCTTGATCAGCTTTCACATCTACAGAAGAAAGAATATAGTTATTTCAATAAGGGACTTGGTAAAAGCGGGGTGGGGATGGGGATAAGGAGCGGGATTTAATCGGTAACAGCGGGATGGGGATGGGGAGGGTAGGGTCTCAAAAGCGGACGGACGGACCCGCCCCGCCCGAAAAGGACGGACGGACGGACTGATGCGGACCAGACAGGACCATAAATATCCATGTAAAGGACAATCATTCATAGATAGCCTGTCTTTAAAACACTTCTATACATGGACAATAAATTTATGTACGTATTAACTATGCTAGGACCAATAGAAGAGGTCATGTTAGCGAAAATTTAACTTTATCAATGCAAAATTGCTACTACAGGCTGCATGAAGCATCACAATACTGAACCATCACTTGAATTCTATTTGTTATTCTTAATAGGAGTTCAGTGACACCATTTTAATGATTTTTTAATATTATTTGGTGTAAGTCTAATAATAAACATAGTGAAATTTTATGATTAATTTTTATCAGTGCTATTGCATGCAACACTATACTGAGATACTGATTTCATTTAATTACACAATTAAAATAATAATAGTTCAATATCCTTGAAATCACTGCTCTTTAAAGATAAGGAGACCCTTTGAAATAGTTATATTGAGCTTTAGAATCCAGCCAAAAAGTAGTTATCCTACGTAATAAATGTAAAAATTATAGTTACTTCTAGTATATTTATTTTTGTCATACCTGGGCTAGGAATGCCACACTTTTTTTGCAGATCCCTTTTCAATGCTTGTAAATCATTGTAAAGAGTTGCTTAGCACAAAGCAACTCTGGTTGCAACGCTAATAGTTATTGTCTTCCACCTATGATAAAAATGATATTCCATTTCAATAGCAAATTGTACCTGAAACTGTGAAGCATGAGAGTCAAAAGCCATTGCCTCAAAAATTTTGAAGTTATCTAATAAACATTGTTATGACAGAGCATAACCATTACAATAGAATTTATACTTGGACAACATATCGGAACACTCCATCACAACACAGTATGATGTATAGGCAAACTAAAAGTCAATTAATTTTAACAATAACATATTAGATATGCATAATTTGCACAGATAAGCACCACAGTCAATGGAACTGTCTTGTTTGGATACAAACTGTTGCAATAATAAACTAAAATTTGTAAGTTTGTACATACCACTTCATAGTATGTTTGTATAGTATGAAAAGTTAAACTTCTGTGTGTGCACCCCTACCTTTTTTCAAATACATTGACAGCACACTATTCAATTTGAACAACAAAACATTAATTCAAATAAAATTTTGATTCATACCAGCACTTGCTTGTTTTGTCACAGTAAAATATTTTTCAATAGAATCAAAATTAAAAAATTGATTTATGACGCTTAATAACCTATACAAATCCGCTATTAATATTGTAGACAAATAAATTTTAACAAGAACTTACAATTAAAATCTAGTGGCTTCTGACATGACAAGGCATTATATACAATAGATTAAACTTCACTTACATCATATATAATCCTAATTTTATAGCACGGCGTCAAAACATAGATATTATACGTACAGCTGTGATGAAATAACTTACATAAAAGTATCAGTCAACAGTCTCATCAGGTTTATTTGCAACCAATTTACTAAAGATTGCTGTTGGTAACACACAAAACATAATATTGCTCTAAAAAATTGCAGTTTTTATTTAATAATACTCATCCTATATAGTCTACATTGTATTCCTGCTTATATTCACTGTAAATGGTAATTCCTCTTTGAATATATTGATTGAAGATATAGACTTGCACCAAATAATACAGAAAAATCATTAAAATGGTGTCACTGAACTCCTATTAAGAATAACAAATAGAATTCAAGTGATGGTTCAGTATTGTGATGCTTCATGCAGCCTGTAGTAGCAATTTTGCATTGATAAAGTTAAATTTTCGCTAACATGACCTCTTCTATTGGTCCTAGCATAGTTAATACGTACATAAATTTATTGTCCATGTATAGAAGTGTTTTAAAGACAGGCTATCCATGAATGATTGTCCTTTACATGGATATTTATGGTCCTGTCTGGTCCGCATCAGTCCGTCCGTCCTTTTCGGGCGGGGCCGGGCGGGTCGTCCGTCCGTCCGCTTTTGAGACCCTACCACCACCATATCCGGATCCCCACTCCGCTTTTACCGATGAAATCCCGCTCCCCATCCCCATCCCCGCCCCGCTTTTACCAAGTCCCTTTCAATAATTATAGCCTGCACAATGGCCCATACAATGCAAGTGATGTACCTTCAGTGAGGACT